TAACATCAAGCATTTATGTAGGTGATTCTCAAAAATGATACATATTGAGAAAATTAAATCTGTCATTGACATTATTTCTAAAGACAAAATTTGAATCAAAACATTTTACATATGGTCATTTTATTGCAGTTTAAAATCAAGCATCCCGAGAGCGAAGATCTTAGTTTTCTGTACGGAACTATTTTAACAGATGGAAAAGATGCTTACAGCGAGGAGCCCACCACCAACATCTGCGTGTTTGCAGATGAGCAGGTAGGAGGTACCAGGGCCACAACTGTCAGACTTGAACCCTAGAACAGCTGGTAGAGAACACTCAATTCCTGTCGTTTCTGGTTCTGAAACAGGTCGACAGAAGCCCCACCGGCTCAGGAGTGACAGCCCGAATTGCTCTGCAGTATCATAAGGGCCTTCTGCAGTTGGACCAGACCAGAACCTTCCAAAGCAGCGCAACTGGCTCGGTGTTCACGGGGCGTGCTGTGAGGGTCAGTGTAACTCTGGCTTCTTGTTGGGAGACAGAAGAGGCGGAACTGGGTGCTGGCTGCGTCCCTGAACTTGAAAGCCAGCCTGTAGAAACTTCTGTCCAACCATCAATTCTCAAAGTGTAATGTTGGCACCTCGGGTTTGACCCACTGTGTTTTCTATGAGTCAAAACTGTGTTCCTTGTGATATACTAAGACATGGCTTTGCCCTCGCTCTCTCGGACGCAGACAGGCTACTCTGAGTGATAGCCCAAGCACATGAATGACTAAGTGCAGAAGCAGGTGAGAATCCCCCTGTTTCTATTGAGACAGACAGGAGAGGCCTTGCAAGATTGAAAAATGACGCCACCTTTCTCGTTTGAAACTTTTTGGCAACAGTTATTTACAAAAAGTGCGTATACGTTTCTGTGTATTCATTGCTTTGTAATCAGTTTGTCTTCAAATGAAGCGGTGAACAATAAGTACTGAGCGATATTCCGTGCATAAAGAAGAACTTGTGGAGGCTCTCAAATATTAAGGTGTAAAGGGCTCTTGAGACCAAAAGATCTGAGAAGCACTGCCTTAGAGTGGGAGCCTTTTTGGTTTTTGACTTATTCTATGGAAGTATTGTAATTCAAAGAGTAGCACGTAAAAGATGCGAGTTGTGAAAATAGAATTTTTGTAATGAAATCAAATGCAAATGTGCTAACAGGGAATCTGCTCAGCAGCAAATGAAGCCTGTTATAGAAAGATGAATCTACATTAGTGGATGAGCGTACTCATGGAGAGTCCTTTAACGTGGGAAGCAATCTACCCTAACACAGCTGTTTCTCAGGATTTGTTTCTGAATACTGAAGGTCCCGCTTAGCAGGCTTCTGGGTTCCGAGTCCCTCTCCCATGTGCCCCCTCTTTCCAGTTAACTAAAACACAATCTGACCTTGTCACCCCCTTAAAAACCTTCCTGTGCCTGAGGGATCAACACATGGGTTTCTCTGGCTCTAAAAGCCAAGAGCCCAGCCTTCGGGACACCAAACAACCACAGGATTTTCCCAGCTTGCTCCTCTTGTCTCTTTTTCAGGAAGGGAAGTGCGGGGATTTCAAAGCTGTCATAGTGGAGGTTGCAGGACAAGCCCATTACACGGGGACAGCAATCCTGACAGTGGAAGACGACGACCCTTTGAGGGACGGCTTTCTTCTCAAGTGACCTTTCCCGGGAGCTTTAAGGTTTTCCTTCTAAAGTAATTACCTGTGAGTGGTGTTTTCTCCGTATTATATGAAAACCAGCATCCAGCTACCCATATAGGCTAGTTTTATAATTTCTAGAACAGTATACTAAGGCTAACTGCAAGGCATTATACTTCCTGCTTGCAAACCTTTTGAGCCTAAATATCACTGATGTGGCGTACAAAGTGCTAAAAATTCAGAAACGTTTCAATCATTAGTATACAGGGCAAAATTAAAACCTAGTTTCTTGATCTACGCTGTGGAAATGGCAGTTCTTTGTATGAAAGTTTCTTTGGATGATAGCTTCAGTCACAGACCACACAGCAATAAGCTTTGTGAGTCTGTTATTTTAATGCTTAGTTTGAGTGAAATAAAGGCCTCCATAAGCAGCGTGCTGAGGAAGCGGGTTATTACGAGGTTCTCAACACTTGGCATAAATAATCCTGGAACGATCACCTGGAGTCAGCTTCTTTGACAGGCATCGTTATAGGGGCTGCTGGGGTGCTGCCTTTGCTGCCGAGCCCCCATCATCTACACCCACTGGTATCCAAGTGCCACAAAGTCACTGGCTGGTGCTGCAAAGACCAACAGGTAACCAGATTTTTGCCATCTCTAGGATGGTGCTCTTGGCTTAGGGAATGTTATTTTGTTTGTTGTGTGTTTGGATGGTTGTTTTTCCTTTGTTTGGTTCATTCATTGGTTTTAAGTATTGGTTCTGGAACCTCATGCTACATTGCTGAAATACAGATGGGAAGTGAAAATTAATCTCTGAACCTTTACAATGAAATGAATCTCAGGTCCTATCAGCTGACCTTGACCGGTAAGTTCTTCTTCACTGACAGGGTACTGTCAAGGAAAGTCCAAATCAGAGATACAGAAGATAGAAAAGGTAGGCTCAGGGGTCTTGCACAAGCTACATCTTTTGTCAAACAAGTTCATTAAGAAGTACACTATCTTGTATACTGTTTGCGGTGGGAGGGGGGACACAGAGCTGGCAAAAAGCTATTCTACAGTGGGCCAAAGTCAGCAGGAAACTAAGTCAAGCAGTGTTGCCTGAGGGGAGCACAGGATACCTCAGAGGTATCACAGGTCAAGCACACAGAGTCCTTGGGACTGATAACTCCAGTCTCTAGGGTCTGGCTCCAGCCCCACACTGGACTTGGCCAAGTCTGCCCCTGGACGAGGACATGGACTTAGCTTCCTTATGTCCTTCCCTGAAGGCTTCGGAGAAAGCCTTGGATCAACTCAACTCTCAATAATCAGCTGCTTGCTAGACTTAGAACATGAAACAATCTCATTACTAGCATTATTGCCAGTTAATACTTACCTTTCAGCCTCTTAAAAATATCGCTTGAAAGCCAGGTGTGGGGACACATGCCTGTAGTCCCAGCCCTTGGGGGCTAGAGCCAAGAAGATTATAAAGTTTCAGGTCTGCCAATTCATTCAGACCCTGACTTTTAATAATCAGAAATAAAATAATGGATCATCGTCTGTCATCTATTGAAACATTAGCTGCAATGCCCTCGGAAAATACAGTAGACCTTTTGTGAGGTATGTAGTAGTATTTCAGTTCTGTGCACACCAGATACTGAATTAATCCATGTTAAGGGGCCCTGTCACTCGGTAGGCCTTTAGTGACTCATTTTTGGAGGTCTGTAACTTTATTACCTAACCCAAACGAAAAATATGAAGTGAATATCTGTTATTTCCCCATTACCCCCAAGCACTTCAGGTTTTGTGTCGACACCATCCGTCACCCCAAAAGAAAGAGGGAAAGAGGTGCTGTCATCAACTCAGGGTGACTAAATTTCCATAGAGTAGGTGATTTACACATTTAGTGAAATAAGAATAGAATCGCTATTTTCTCTCTTAGTCTCATGTCTCATTAACTAGAACAAAAACATTGTTTTAGAGTCACATTTCTTGATGGACCGCATAGGGACCCTCTATCTGAAAGAGCACACTACAGTTAGTATCCCCTGGCTACCAAGGGTGCAGAACTTTATCTGTGGCAGAGTTAGGAATCGTCAGTTCTGGCAGTACCAACGAACCGATAATGTTAGTTATTTCTCTTCTTGTTTTAGAATTGTCTGCAGATAGTACCTTCCCCATTAACTGCCTCAGGGTAGAGCTCTCTGCCTCGCCTGTAGGATGCTATTGCTTCATTCCACTTATGTATGGTAAGGAGATGCCAGCCAAGCACGTTGGCTCACTCTGGTATAGCCAGTCCAGAGAGTGTGACTCCACCAAACTAGTAATACCTAACATCCAACATTCTAACCCAGTGGTTCTCAACCTTTGGGGGTGTCTAACAGCCCTTTCACATATGTCACCTTAGACACCATCTGTGTAAACACAGATATTTACATTATGATTCATAACAGTAGCAAAATGAAGCTATGAAGTAGCAGTGAAAATGATTTTATGGTTGGGGTCACCACAACATGAGGAACTGTATTACAGGGTCACAGCATTAGTGAGGTTGAGAACCACTTTTCTAAACTGTCTGGTCCTTCGCTCTGCCTCCCTTGAAGTCAGAAAGGCTAAGGAGATCAACCCCGCCTTCTTGGGCATTCAAATAGGAGCACTGTCAATTCTGCTTCTACACTAGTTGCGTCTGCAACCCAGTCCATCGGCTTACCTCATCGACAAACCAAGCACCCACAGCCTCCTTCCCCTCAGTGGCATCCCCCCAAATAGCTAGATGTGTCCGTCATAAGGATGATGGGGCAAGCACTCCTGCCCCTCTTTTTCGATTGCTTCCACCCCCTGACTCTTTCTTTCCCTTGGGAGTCAAGCTTCTAGGTACACTTCCCTCATGTATGCCACCATGTCTGGTTCTGCACCATTACTCTCTGGAAACTGCTTGGCCTGTCAGTCATAAGAGCCCCTGAAGGGTTCATTAAACCCATGGTGGACACTGCTGCTGGATCCTTGCAGTCAAGTGTGGTACCCTTTGGAGCAGGATTTCTAACTCTTTGGTGCCAAGGTCACCCACAGAGTGGCTCAGTGAGACTCTCCAGGTCATGAGTTGGTACTCAGTCCTCAACTGCACATGATCATACATAGAATTGTGTGAGCCAAGACCCATACCCCTCTTGTCCCAAGTCTTCTAGGTTCCTCAAGAAACAGGCCACCCTTCAACCCTCAAAACTCACACGTTGTGTCCTGTTCCTCTTAAGGCAATATTCATACTTCTATGTAACTCTTAACCTAAAGGCCTAACATGACGATTCTTGTTGAGTGGACTTCAGTTGAGCTGTTTCTAACACTCCGAGGTGTCTGGAAGGAGACTCCTCTTTGGTAGAAAATCTTTTTGGCAAATCTCTGTTAATTACCTGCTGGGGCTCAGGTTGCACATGTGAATGCACCCTTACCAAGCAACCTCTTTTTACCCTAAATACTCAAAAAGTCCATCTTTTAGGTAAAGGACGGAGCTGACCTCCACTGAGATGACACCGGGGGAATTACCATTGTGTCTTATAAACTGTCACCCACCTGCCTTGCTTTGTGCACTGCCTCCGGGTTGTAACTCCCTGACATCCTATCCAGCATCCCTTTCTTTTTCACTATCCTGCCCTGAAGTTACCCCATTCATGCCCATGGATGTGGAGTTAGGAATAGAGAATCCTTGGAGCCTTTGAAGAGAGATGGGGACCTGCAGAAGGGAAGAGGGCTGGGCTCCAATAGGAAAGATCAACGGGCAGAGGAGAAGATACCGTGCAGACAAAGAAAGAAGCAAGCACGGAGGGGTGCAAGGTCCCTATTGCCTTTCTGAAGCACATGCCCGACTATGGCCTTTGTTTGGCAAAGGCCAACTGCTAGTTTAATTACACCCTCTTCCTCCACAGCACAGCATGCCAATCCTGTCCCAAGAAAACCAAACACATTTCACTTTTACTCCCCAACTGCATGTAGCTTAGAATTCAGATACCGACAACTTCAACACTCTCCTCTCGATGTCGTGTTTGCATTCTCCATCTCTCCTCTCCCCTTCGCTTTGTATACAAAGTCTTTATCAGCCACCCTAGCAACTTAATCTATGTTGCATTTCATTCCATCATTTTAAACACTTATTTCCTTGTTATACATTTGTGTTTACCTAAGACTATAAGTCTTTTGGGACAAGGGCCCTTATTTGCTTTGTGCTAAAACTAGGCATTAATGGTTGCAGATTGAATTTACTAAATCAGTTCATCTATAGGTATTATATTATCATATTGAATGATTGTCAGCTGGGGTTGCTTTTACCCTGAAGGGGAATGCGGCAATTTCTGCAGACAGTTTAAGTTGTTGCAGCTGAGAGACATGCTGCTGGCATCTAACGGGCAGATACTAGAAATGTTGCTAAGGGCTCTATGTGGAACAGTTCCCACCAGCAAAGAATGATCTGGCCCAGACTGATAGCGAGACATCCTTAAATGCACTGTTAAGTTTCCTATAGCATACACTGAAATAAGCCCTTTAGCCCTAATGCAGACTCCAAGACCTGCAAGTGGCCTAGTTATTCTTTAAGAGTTTCTCAAGCTTGTGGGTGCATTAGCATCTCCCGGAGAGCTTGTCAAAGCACTAGAGTCTGGATCTCCTCGCAAGTATCAGATTTTGCTTTGTTGGAAGTTCTTGAGCGGTGCTGATGTTGGCTCCAGACCCTCATTTTGCGAACAGCTGCTTTAAAGAGCACAGGTAACTAGAGGATTGATTCACGCTTTTCCTCCTCAAGGTCATAGCCACAGTCTGGAGAGGCAACCTTGCTGGACAGCCAGGACTTTCCTGGTCCTGTCTCTCTCCACTCAGTATCTGCCAGAGTGTCTGTGGCTGGCCATGCCTTAATATACCACACAGACCACATTCTAGAGATCAAATGGTAATAGCGGGAAATCTACGCCTCTCTCTGCCCTCTCCCCCTGCATTACCAGTTACCATCCAGAGGTCCAGGACCCTGAACAGTAGATGACATCTTCCCTCCTACATCCACGTACCAATCCTTGAGAGTATCTGCTCCGAATCAGGCTTAAAGGAGGAGCCCAGACTCAAGAATATTGAGTGTCAGCAAGAAATCTATTGAAACAAGTTTGTTACATCAGTGGTTTTCAAAGTGTGACCCTTGGACCAACATCACCACCCATACAAATTCTTGATCCTCACCCCATTATCTGAAACTGAGATTGGAATCTAGTCATGTGTAACATGCCCACTGAGTGTTTCTGTTGCTGGCTCAAGATATAGACGTACAGGAAATACCCCCCGCCCCTCAAGAACTCCTGATGTGGACTGTTTTCCTTTCCTACCTGTGGATGCTAGCGATGCCCACAGCATCAGTACTCTCACAAAGACTTCCCTGTAGGGCCTCTGCGCCCAACAGGAAAGAGCAAGACCACCTCGGTAGAATCTGCCATTCGTATGCAGGGTTTTCTGACTGTCTCTGGTATGGCAGGGTGCTGGAGGTAGAAAATACCAGCCCTCAGACACCCAGACCCTGGCGGGATCGCCTCGGGCTGGGGAAGGAGATGATGTGGGCCGGTTTTCTGGGGTACCCGGCTGGCGTCCCGCCCTGCGTTCCTGCGTAAACAGGCGGTTCCCTCGGCAACGCCTGGAACCCACGTCAAGGTTCTACCAGTGCGGGGTGGTGACCGCCCCGTTTCGGCCGAGCCCCACCCACTCCTCGCTGCGGCCGCTTGGGTTCGCTCAGCCCTTCACCCTGCTGCGGGATGAGCAAAGCTGCGACCTGCGCGGGGTCCCATGGAGGAGCAGGAGCGGCCCCCCGGCCGCCCGCCCGCGAGCGTGGCCTTACCAGGCAGCGCTCATTCGGGAGGGGTGGCTTCCACGGTCACCGCGGCCGCGCTGTCGTTCAGCGCCGTCGCCACGGTAACGCTGGGAAACCAGAGTGATGCGGGCCGGCCCGAGGCGGCGGGGTCTCGGGGACCTGCGCCGCTGCTGTGGCACGGGGCGGCGGTGGCCGCCCAGGCACTCGTGCTCCTGCTCATCTTCCTGCTGTCTAGCCTGGGCAACTGCGCGGTGATGGGGGTGATCGTGAAGCACCGGCAGCTGCGCACGGTCACCAACGCTTTCATCCTGTCGTTGTCCCTGTCGGACCTGCTCACCGCGCTGCTCTGTCTACCCGCCGCCTTCTTAGACCTGTTCGCGCCTCCCGGAGACTCGGGGCCCTGGCGCAGCTTCTGCGCCGCCAGCCGCTTCTTCAGTTCGTGCTTTGGCATCGTGTCCACGTTCAGCGTGGCGCTCATCTCGCTGGACCGTTACTGCGCCATCGTGCGTCCTCCGCGGGACAAGCTGGGCCGGCGACGCGCTCTGCAGCTGCTGGCCGGAGCCTGGCTGGCAGCGCTCGGCTTCTCGCTGCCCTGGGAGCTGCTTCGGGCGCCCCGGGAGCCCCCTGCTCCGCAGAGCTTCCACCGCTGCCTTTACCGGACCTCCCCAGATCCCGCGCAGCTGGGCGCCATCTACAGCGTGGGGTTGGTGGTGGCCTGCTACCTGCTGCCCTTCCTGCTGATGTGCTTCTGCCGCTACCACATCTGCAAGACCGTGCGCCTGTCGGACGTGCGCGTGCGGCCGATGACCACCTACGCGCGCGTGCTGCGCTTCTTCAGCGAGGTGCGCACGGCCACCACCGTACTCATCATGATTATCTTCGTCATCTGCTGCTGGGGCCCCTACTGCTTCCTGGTGCTTCTGGCTGCGACTCGGCAGGGTCAGGCCACTCAGGCCCCCTCCTTGCTCAATGTGGCCGCTGTCTGGCTGACGTGGGCCAATGGGGCTATCAACCCTGTCATCTATGCCATCCGCAACCCCAACATTTCCATGCTCCTAGGGCGCAATCGTGAGGAGGGTTACAGGACTAGGAACATGGATGCTTTTTTGCCCAGCCAAGGCCTAGGTTTGCAGGCCAGAAGCCTCAATCACCTTCGAAATGGCTGTACCAGCAGGCTGGGGGCTTGTAGCAGGATGCCTTCTTCCAATCCGGCTAGCGGGGCAGGAGGGGAAGTGGTCATGTGGGCTCGCAAAAACCCAGTTGTACTTTTCTTCCGAGAGGGACCACCAGATCCAGTTATGGCCGTCGGCAAACAGCATAAATCTGAAGCCGGGGACAGTAGCCACTAGGAAGGGTTGAGGTGGACAGCTTGGAATAACAGCAGATTTCCACCCCTCTCATTTAGTGATGCGGGGATCGGGGCGAATTGTGAATTTCATAAAGTCAAACACTTAAAACTAAAAAGACAGGAATGAGAGGGTTACCACTTCATTCCTGAACATAAAAGTCGCAAAAGGCCATCCCCTTTCTTCAAAAGTGCCAAAAGGAATGTGAAATGCAAAATTTAAAACAATCTTAAACCACACAACCAAGTGTTGTGAGGTGTAAGTGCAAAAAAAGCGACAAAAATAAAATTTACAGTTACTGAAAAGCTCATGTTATAGAAATTACACTGTGAAACAGATGCCATTGAACTCAAAGATTTATTCAAATACTATTTTTTTTGGAATGCACAAAGACCCTCGGGCCTGTTTGAAGGCCCCTGTACTTCACCAGCATTCAACGAAACCAGATTCTAGAGTCTGCCTGTGTGACCTGCTTTGGGTGCTTAGAGCTGAGAGCTGAAACAGCATTACACCGATTGGTGCCCTCCCCTGGAATTTTTGTGTGAAATTCTAAATTTAGAGTCAACTTTGAACCACTTCCAGATTTTTGAAAAGGTCGTTTATTACTAGATATAATTCAGTGGTCCAAAGGGCACATGAACATAATATGATTGTTTAAGCAGAAGTCCAATATTATACATAAAAACTGATGTTCCTCCTAAGCCCGTTTTAGCCCCCAAATTAGCTATCTTGGGAACCCAGGCTCTGGCCTTGCTCTAAACTGCTGCTTCTGTTTGATAGCTTGTGTGGATGCCACGCCAAGTGCTTTCATTAATAATAATAATAATAACAACAACAACTTTCATACTGGAAAAATCTTTGTCAACTGGGATAACTGTGTTTGTGTTTTTGTTTATTTTGTTTTTTGATAGATTCCAAAATGTAATTTGAAGTCAAATTGCTTGAATCGGGTGAGTGCTGCTCAATATGAATGTGCACATATATGTATTGTATGTACGTCTTTTACACACAGTATTGGCTGTCCTGCCCACCCTTTAATTGCCAAATGTGATTTCCAAAGAGGAATTCTAAAAGTAATATGGAAAGTATAGCCACATCCTTGGAATAGTCATAGAATGTCCTACAAGGACATGCTTTCTACTAGAAGTTTGGATATTTTTTAGTAGTAAATATTTTAGCCATCATTAGAAAGATAATTGGTATGGGGTTGCAAGATAAGATATAAATCCATAAGCACAGGTTGGAGAGATACCTCAATCAAACTGAAATACTTTCGGAAACTTGCAAAAAACAATTTTTTACAATAATCTAGAAGCACAATCTATGCTTTGTATATGCAAAATTTCTCACACTGAACGTCACTTTGATTTTTCCTTCCCTCCTACTTCTCTTTAATTCAGCATTCCACAACCTTAGCTGAATAATCATTTTTAAAAGTATGAAAATGCATACTATGTGACGATTTTATTGTGAACTAGCCAGCATTATCTTTCTTGTAAAGTGTTTAAGATGTTTGTTAGTACATAAGCCTGTATGCCAGACGAGTGTACAACATTACTTTGTAATCAAAGATAGAAATACATGATCTCTGTCTTGATGATCAAAGACTGTTTTAATTTTTCTTATTCTCCAGATATCACCACAGTCAGAACTTTGTAGATTATCTGGGTATGTTATTGCTATGTCGGTGTGGCACGAAGGCAGTGAGGAAAATCCTCCCTTCTAAAGCCTGTTGTCAAAGGTTATAGGCTTAATGCAGCCAAAAGAACACTTAGTGGATACCTGATACCTTTGCCTGCCAAAGGGGGGGGGGATTGGTTTTGGGTCATGTGAGAAAATGGAAGTCACTGATCTACGGGTTTGAGGAGAAGTGATGGTCTTGACATCATGAAACTGACAGCCCAGGAATTCTGTATTGCTGTATGTCATGAAAAGAGTATGTGATTAGGTGGAGGAGGCAAACATGTTACATGGTGGGTGTCACCTACGGGGAACTGAAGGAAGGAATCACACAATAGACGTGATATAGCATTAGCTTGCCTGATGAGTGCAGGGGGTGAAATCTAAGATTGGAAGTGACAGGGTGTTGGGCTTGGAGGAAGAGAGGGGATTCCTCTCTACATTGTCACTGAAAGTTAAAGTCATGAAAGAGACGATTCTAGAAGCCTTTCTGGTAGTCATTCTCAGAGTCATAGTTAGCAACGAAAGAGGGAAAACAAAAGTTCAAATTTAAGTAGGTAAATAGTGTGTGCTTCTGTGTTTGTGTGTGTGTGTGTGTGTGTGTGTGTGTGTGTGTGCACGCGCGTGCATACCTTTCATCTGCAGCTGTAAGACTATTCAATGGTAAAAGTATAATTTGCCCTGCAATTTGTTTAGCTTCATATCCCTTATTCCCTTATCTGTCTAATGGCAGGGAAAACAAGGATGAGATGTTCTGGTACCATGATCCTCCTCCTCCCATCACCATGGACCACTTTACCTTTGCTTTACCTAAGGGCAGTTTTCTTGGTGCTGAAGCAACTAACAGAAATCACAGAGCCTTCCTGCAGAAGGCTTTCCACCTTCCAAAGGGCTGTGTGCTTTCTAAGAACTGTCCTTACTGAGTAGACGAATTAGTTTTCCCTACCACCAGCAGTGTAAAATGGTTTCTCCCCACATCCTTGCCAGCATCTATTGTCACTTCTCTTTTAATTGAAAATAAATTTTTCATATACTATATTCTGATCATGATTTCTCCTCCCAGTCTCCTTCTAGATCCTCCCCATCCCTCCTCTTATCCGACCCCAACCTCCTTTCTCTTTCCATTCAGAAAATAAACAGGCAAATATAACAAAAAATTACAGGCAAATATAATAAAATTAAAAATAACAAGTACAAGAAACACACACAGAAAGTCACATACATGCACAAAGAAAATCCATAGAAGCACAAAATCAGAAATAATAATATACAAATGACTGGCAAGATCGAAAAAAATGCCCAAAGAAAATAATATTGAACAAAAAAAAAATACAAAAATACCATTGACTTCATTTTGCATTGGCTGTCTACTGCTGTGCGTGGGGCCACCCCAAAGAGTAGTTTAAATACCCAGCAAGATTCCATTGGAGAAAACTAAATTTTTCTTTGCAATTGGTTGCCAATTGGCAATAGCTCCTTGGTTAGGGAAGGGAGCTCACGTCCCCTCCTGCCAGAGTCCTGCTCCCTCAGAGTTCAGGTGAGGAGGAGGTGTGGAGTCGGTGGTAGAAGAAACAAGACTTACACAGAGATGATGCACCTAACTCTGTCCTCCTCTAACGGGAAAGCTCACTTTATTCATACACAGAAACGTGAAGGCATTATACTGTGCTCACAAGCACTCAGCTGTGATTACGGCTCCTAAGGGATTTTCTGACAGTATCCTCTTGATTCTGAAACCTCATCTTCCACCTCCCTTAGAGGTTCTGTCAGCTCTCTTGTTTTATTATTCCTTAACTTTAAGCAAGAAGCAGCTTTTAGCATTCAGGAAGGTCAGTGAGTCTTTCCTAGCCATGAACTGGCTGGCAGCTCTGTGGTCACAAGGTGAGAGCCAGAGCCAGAGCCGGTTCAGTCTAGACGAGCAGATTTTAGTTCTCATGAGTTTATTCTATTTTACCTCTTATGCTATACTTGCAGCCTATTTTCTATGCTAACCATTTAGTTGTCTATGAGTATCATTTGTACAATGGGATAATTTCTTTCTCTGACTAGCCTTTCTAAAAAGAGGAGTCTTTATTCCTTTTTAATCCTTTCGCACCATCCTCTGTCCATTTATATAGGTACCCGTGTAAAACAGTGGAGAATGGAGCCACCCTAGCTTCTTCTGTAGAATCGGCGCCTTGAAGGGCTTTCTAAGTCCTTTCTAGCAGTTATGTTACATGTCATGGGAACTTAGATATTATGTTTGAAACACTATAATTCTTATCCCCTCTTGACTGGCCTCTGAGCTATTATAGGAGCTTGGGTACTTGGGGACAAATAGATGAAATCAGGATCTTTGTATAAGATGTCTGCTTTAATTCTGAAAGCTATCTGGATATATGTATTTTCTTAGATTGTTAACTCTCTTGAGACAATCATCAGGACATGGGGGGCGGGTGACATTGCTACTGCAGGGGAGGTCCATTACTTAGCGGGGACTGACCATAATCAGACCAAGTGTAACAGCTGCGGTTTCAATACTTGGGAACTTGCTTAAGGAAATTAAATTTGGACCATTTATGGTTTTCTTCATAGAATCTTGGTTCCTCAGGAGTCCTGGAGTCAGGTTAATTTTTATAATTTTTGTTAGTTTGTGTTTTTCCTTCCATTGCCTCCATATTCATGAAAATATTATGCTGTCATACCACGAAGAAACATCAATAGCCCTGTTTATCAAGTGTAGAAGTTTCCTGGTGGAAGGTTTATGGTCTTTTATGTATAAAATCATATCATATAAAAATAAGATACTTTGACTTCTTCCTTTTCTATTTGAATTCCCTTGATCTCCTACAGTGGTCTTACTGCTCTAGCTAAGTCGTCAAGTACTATATTGAATAGGTACGAAGAGAGTGGACGTCCTTGTCTTGTTCCTGAATTACTTTGAGTTCTCTCCTCTTAGGCTGATGTTGACTGTGGGCCTACTCTGTATCACCTTTAAGTTTGTTCTTTGTAGCCCTAGTCTCTCCAGGGATTTTGTCATGAAAGGATGTTGGAGTTTATCTAAGGCATTTTTTGTATCTAATGAGGTGATCATTGTAACCTTGTATAAAGAATAAAGCAATGTTCCTTAAGTTTCTATTTTATAGAATGATTTGAAGAATATTGGGGTTAATTTTTTTTTGAAAAGTCTTTTGGTGGGGCTGGAGAGATGGCTCAGCGTTTAAGAGCATTGCCTGCTCTTCCAAAGGTCCTGAGTTCAATTCCCAGCAACAACATGGTGGCTCACAACCATCTGTAATGAGGTCTGATGCCCTCTTCAGGCATGCACGTAGACAGAATATTGTATACATAATAAATAAATAAATAAATAAATAAATTTTTTTTTTAAAAAAAAGTCTTTTGGTGCTCTGCACTGAATCTATCTGGCCATGGGCTTTTATCTATCTATCTATCTATCTATCTATCTATCTATCTATCTATCTATCTATCTATCTATCTATCTAAGCTTTTTGGTTGGGAGAATTTAAATTACTGCTTCTGTCTCGCTATGGGTTATAGACTTATTTAAATTGCTTATCTAATCTTGATTTAACTTTGGAGTTACTCATTTCTTTACATATTTTCCAGTTTTGTGGAGTACATGTTTTTAAAGCTTGTCCTTATAGTTCTCTAGATTTCCTCAGTGTTTGTTGTTATAGCCCTCTTTTCATCTCTAATTTTATTAATTTGGATCTTCCTCTCCATCTTTTAGTAAATTTAACTAAGGGTTTATTAATCTTATTGATTTCTCCAAAGAACCAACTCCTCATTTCAAATATTTCTTTATACTATTTTTGTTTGTTTTTATTTTATTGATTTCAGCCCTGAGTTTTACTATTTCTTGCTATCTACTCTTCTTGTGTAATATTTCTTCTTTCTGTTCTAGAATTTTCAAATGTGTTGTTAAGTTATTAATTTGATATCTCTCCCTTTTCTTTATGTAGGCTCTTAGTGCTACCAACCAGCCTCTTAGAACTACCATTATTGTGCCCCATATATTTGAGTGTGTTGTATTTTCATTTTCATTCAATTCTAAAAAGATTTTTACTATATAATGTGTCTTCGCCCATTTTTAATTCAGAAGTGAGTTGTTGAACATCCTTGAGTTAGTGATGTCCATTGTTGGTATCCAGCTTTAGTCTGTGGTGGTCTGGTAGGATGCTGGGTGTTATCTCAATCTTCTTGTTCTCTGTTGAGCCTTGCTTTGTGTCCAAGTCTGTGGTCAGTTTTGGGGAGACAGTTCCATGAGCTGCTAGGAAGACGGTGTATTCTTTTGTGTTTGGGTGGAGTGTTTTGTAGCTCTCTGCTAGGCCCGTTTGATTTCTGATGTTACTTAGCTCCAACATTTCCCCCCTTGGTATGGATAGTGGGTCTTTTGGCAAAAGTGCGGTGCTGAAGTCTTCACTGTCACTGTATGAGGGTCAATATAGCAGTTTAGCTTAGCAGTGTTCTTTTTATGAACTCAGGTGCCCTTGTGTTTGATGCATAAATGTTCAGAATTGTGGTATTTTGGTGGATTTTCCTTTTGATGAGTATTTAATGTCCTTCCCTATCTCTTTTGAGTAGTTTTGTTTGAATTCTGTTTTGTTAGATGTTAAAATGGCTACACCTGCTTACTTCTTTGGTCCCCTTGCTTGGAATAACTCTTTCACCCTCTTACCCTGAGATGTCGCATATCCTTGATGGAGAGGTTGCTTACATGCAGTAGAAGGGTGGATTCTGTTTTCTAATCCACTATGTTACCCTGTGTATTTTTATTGGGAAGTTGAGACCACTAATATTTAGAGTTATCAGTGCAAGTATTTTCTGATTCCAACGATTTTGTTGTTATGGTAGGGTTGCCCCACATTTGATTTGCATTACTGGCATTTTTTATTGTGTCTTTCTTGGGAGAGGTTAACCTCTTTAGACCGAAGTTTTCCTTCTAGTGTCTTCTATAAGAACTGGATTTGTAAATAGATACTAAATATGATTTTGTTGTTGAATGTATTCATTTATCTATTGTAATTGATATTTGTGCGAGATATTGTAGTCAGGTCTGGTATTTGTGGTCCCTTAGAGTCTGCAGAATGTCTGTGCAGGCCCTACTGGCTTTTACAGTCAGAAGTTATTCTAATAGGTCTGCCTTTATATGTTGCCTAGGCTTTTTCACTTGTAGCCTTTTTCTTTCTTTGCTCTTAAATTTAGTGTTTTAATTATTATGTGTTGTGGGGGACCTCTTTTCTGTCCCTGTCTACTCTGTGTTCTATATGCTTTTTGGAGCTTGATAGGCACCTTCTTCTTTAGGTTAGGGAAACTTTCTTCTATGATTTTCTTGAAAATATTCTTTGTGCCTTTGACCTGGGTGATGCTGCAGGGCGATTGGTAATGAAAAGTCCCCAGACTATCTTAATACAAAATATACAGCTTTAATAAACAGAAGTAAGACTTACAACAGCTTACACCAGAATCCAAACGCCCCAAAAACAGAATGTGATTGGCTGAACTCCCCTATCATCTCCCCCTTTTTTTCTAAAATAAGACAGAACCAAACCAAATACAACTGTATACAATAGAAGCAAATAATAAATATAAAGTTACAAACAACAAACAATGTTAAGCAAGAAACATATAACAAAAGTTCTGCTAAACATTCTATCTCAGGGAGTCTAAATAATGTAGATGGTAACTACAACTATCTAATCTTCAACTCCATCAAAGATCTGAGAAGGGAAATTTTACTCAAGCAGCCCGGAAGTACAAGTGGGAAACTCCCGAAATGTGCAACAAATGGAAGAGACAACTGAATACCTGGGCAATCACCCAAAGTCTCGTATGCAATGTTGAGTCAACCAACTTTGGCTAAGTCCTGATGTAACTGACATGCCATTTTTCAAAGGCAAGAAACCTTTTAGGACTCTCTCACCCTGTCTTGGCAAGATAAGACAATCCTGCTTTTATCCATTTACGGATATTCTGTAATTCTGTCAGTGGTTGAGGTATGGGCTTTTTTTTTTTTTTTGCCCAAAGGCC